ATGAAGACGGAATGAGATTTGCCGCTTCTTCTTCTTCTTCTTCTTCTTCTTCTTCTTCTTCTTCTTCTTCTGTTCAACGGGTTGTCAAAAAATAATTACATACAATGAAACTATCGTACGTTTTTAGCATTTTAAAACTTGGAATCTTTTAAGTAGGACGATACAGAATCACGTGTTGTTAAAGATGGAAATTAACATGGAATTATCCAAAGATTCAAAGATTACCCTTTCATAAATAGATTACACTTTTGAAAAAAAAAATTTGGATGAGTAAGTAGTGTTTCGATGTTATTTTTTTTAATATTATTTTTTTGTGTTCAACGGGTGGTGGAAAACAAAGACAGAAAGATAAAAATGAAGACAATGAGATCTACTTGTATTTGAGTTGCTTTCTAATTTTTATTTTTTGTAAACGGCAGATAAATAGATTAAAAAAACAACACGTGAGTTTATTTGATAATATTTGAAATTTTGGGGTGATCAGTGGTGATGGTGTTCAATAGGTTTGAAATGTCCCCCATGTCCAAGTCCTGAAAATGTCTTTTGACAAGTAAATAGATAACACTTTTGAATAATTTTTCTTTGGGCAAGTAAATAATGCTTGGTCGTTCTTTTTTTTTCAATAGGTTGTCAAAAATAAAGATAAAAAAAGATGAAAATGAAGATGGAATGAGTTCTGCCATTTCTTATTCGTTTTTTAATTTTTTACTCAACAAGTTGTCAAAAAAATAAAAAACTAAAATTGCAGCCAAAACCAGCGCTGGTTTTTAACCTACTGAAGACTTGGAATTTTTTTTTTATGCAAAACAATATAAACTGAAATAGTTTTAAAGATGAAAATGAAGATGGAATGAGATCCCCTAAAAGACACACTTTTGAAGAATTTTTTTTTAAAAAAAATAAATAAATACTTGTTTTTTTTCTTCTTTTTACATTTTTTGTTTCAATGGACTGTCAACAAAATAAAAATAGAAAGATAAAAATAAAGACGGAATGAGATTCGCCGGTTCTTCTTCTTAAGCGAATGCAATTCCCAATCCTCTTAAACGAAGGCAATTCCCAATCATCGCATGTTTTGCAATGACAATCAATAAGAGACATCGCCAGTCACAATCGTGATAATTTTACAATAAAAATGTGATTCGATTTTTATACTTAATTGTGACATGTACAATAAATATTTTTTTTATATATTATATTATAATATCTTAATACTCGCAATGCAACGCACGGGTTACATACTAGTAAATCAGAATTTTAATTACCAATTAAGTAACATAAATTCAGAATTTTGGTCCACAAATTTTCAGCCAAATATTATCTCAACTATCCATCTATATTATTATTATTATTATTATTATTATTATTATTATTATTATTATTATTATTATTATTATATATTAAGAGAGAAACCAGAGAGAAAAATTAAAAATTACTCTTAGAATGCCCAATAAGAAAAAATTCTATGCGCCATTTTCTAATGCATTCTCAAATAAAAAAGTTTATGAAATTGTTGAACAAGTCCTTTTATTTTTATGAAAAAAACCGCTACTTATGTGTAATATCTTAACTTATAATTTTCAAAGTTTTGACTTCTTATAATAATAATAATAAAAACAAATTCAATAATTGCAGATCAATTCTCCAATATTATTCCCATAGATTAAGGATATAATATTCATAATAAAAAAACTTTATAGCATAATTCCTTATGTAGATTTATTCTTTCACACAAATATTTTTAATGTAATATTTTTTTTTTTTTTATCTATCCTGCACAACGTGCTGATTTAACATCTAGTGCGATAAAGGAAAATACTAAAACATCCAGTACTCCTGCGCACAAGCTCCCTGATCACTCATCTTCACCATCGTCACCCAAAACCCTAGAAACAATCCCGTTTTCATTTACTCCCTCCGTCTCATAATTATTGTCCAGTTTTACTAAAATAAAAGATTTTATTTTTGGTCAAACTTAACTATATTTTACCTTAAACAACCGGATATACCCCTACATTGTTTAACCACTAAGATTTTATGGATAATATTTTTTACTAAGGACAAATGTGTAACTTGATCCATAAAAAGTCAAATTGGACAATAATTTTGGGACAAAATTTTTTGGACAAAGTGGACAATAATTATGGGACGGAGGGAGTATTTTTTTTTCCTTCTTTCTTTTTTTTTTTCGTTGACCCCCAAAAATTCAAATTTTAAATAAACTAATCTATCACCTATTCAGTTCGAACTAAAAGCCCTTGTTTCTCATATCCTTTCCAGATAAAATTCAACTATCAAAACAAAATCCAGTTTAATTATTCATTACAAAAATAAGTAAATATTGACAAAGTGATGAAAGCATGCTTACTGTGAGTACGATAGGGACTTGAGAAGCTTTTCTTATGCTACCTTTTTTTTTCAAAGTTTCTATAAAACGAACAAATTCTAATTGTGCCCCCAAGATTTAAGGAAAACTATACCTATTTCTACATCTTTAGTTAACCTCTCACTTTCATCTCTTCTCTCTTTTTCCTACTGCAATTTATTGATGGTGAAAGTATGCATTTATAGAGTTAAGAAAGCTTAACCAGCAAGGGCAAAAAGGGCTGAGTTTTTGGTGAAAGGGGAATGAACTAAAAACTACTTATTTGGAGTTACTACATCTGGCTTTCCAGGTGTACGTTTATCCTTTTTTTTATTTTATTTTTAATAAATTTACTTTTATTTACAGATAAAGGATCTAGCTTTGTACTTTTATGTATTCTTCCCCTAAAGTTTGATGTTAATCTTTGTAAGGCCTCTAACTTTCTTTTCTTTACAGATTAGACCACCTACTATCCTAGCATTATGTCGGAAATATTTATTTAAATATGTAAAGTAGGATTATTAAAATAAGGGGGCCTTACATACAGTATTCACTAAAGGAAAGAGTAGTACAAATTTAAAATTTGTTATTTTTTTAAAAAATACTTCTATGTTAAAAAAAAATCCATTTTGTTGAACTAAAAGAGTATAACAAATTGAACGATTTTTATAGAATGGAGGGAGTAACAAAGATTATATTGCTCAAATTACCACAGTTTCATAAAGGGCCTTTTTACATATATAATAATTGACATTTTTTATATATATAAAACAACTAATTGATAACCTACATTGAATTGGGAATTAAATAACAGCCTAATGATTAGGTTGATGTTTTTGTTGGTAATAGACCAGGATTCGATTCTCACCAGGTTTTGTAAGGGGGAGGAGAGGGGGGAAGAGAGATTTATTCACATTTAAGTGGAGTCCACTGGGGTGAATTTTTATTTTATTTTTTTTAAAAAAAAAACCTACATTGAATCTCTAGATGGATAATCTACATTTACCAATCAAGTGTTACTCTCTTTTTCTTTTCTTTTTTTTTTTTTAATTTGAAGAATCCGACATATCTCATCTTCATTAATAATAGTACTTCCTCCGTATTGAAATTATTATCTAATTTAGATTTTCATTTTTAGTACAAACTGAATTTAAAATAAAAATTCAAACTGGATAATAATTTTAGGACTTACGGCGTAATTTTTTTCAATGAGGAGATCAGTTCCATACATTATCCTCTTCTGCTGATGTTCCAATACAGACGTATTTTGCATCTGTATGAGTGGTACAATGCGTAGTAAACTTCAACAACACATTCACATTGTACCTAATTTTTTCAAATTTTTTAGCATTACGTTTAGTCCAAATGTGATAGGTAATAATCAATATTCATGCAAACAATTTTTAAAATAAATGCTGCCTCTTTATATTTCTGAAAAATTATATTAAAATAAAAAAATACATTTTTATATCATTTACATGTGAAATATAATAATAGGAAAAAGTAAATGAATTAATTAACTTTTTTCTTACCTTGGTCTCATTTTCAAATGCAAACCACGAACAAAATCATCAAAAATTAGATTTTTTTTTTAAAAACAAAACAAATAAGAATTGGAAACCTGAATCTTGCCTCCTAAAAATAGGGTTATTATCAAAAACACACCCAAGGTCTAGCTGCTTATCTAAATCATCTTTACTGTTTAAGAAAATATTAAAAAAATCCTTTAATTTTCAAGTCAATTATCAAAACATTCTTCAATGACTGGAATTTGATTTATGCACATGAACTTAGTGTAAAAATTACCAAAAAAATGGTTTTTACTTTATCGAAACACTCCTTAATTTTTTCTAAAAATTTCTAGTAAATCAAAATCTACTTTTAAATATAAAAATTCAGCTTTCGGGATCCGTTAAAAGTGAAATTTGGATTTAGAAATGAAAATTTAATTTACTCTTAATTTTATTAGAGTTTGTACGAATGGCTTGCTGAGAGTAAATTTTGCTTCTTCTTTTTTTGTGTTTTTTTGCTGACTTTATGTTCATACATCAATATTCAATCATCGGATTACTCTTTTGATAATTGACACGTCTCTTAAAAAGTGTTTTTGATATTTTTATTAAACAGTAAAGATATTTTAGATAATTAATGAAACTTTGGGGGTATTTTTCATATTAACCCCCTAAAAATAATATGGGAAGATGGGCCCATCGATCTAGTTTCATATCTTTAAAATTGAATTAGGGCATGTATAATAATCCATATAATTCAGCACCACTTCTCACTGTCACGTCAATATTCCACAACACTCTTATTACTCATATAATTTTAGACAAGTTATACTCATTACTCATATAATTTTGGACACACAATTATCCCGCTATCACTACCCCATAACTATCCACAATTAATACTTTACTATTTTTTAAAGTAAACGATAAAAAAAAGCCATAATGAGATAATATAAGAACATAAAAAAGACTAATTATCCTAAACAACATATTAAAATTTTAAAAAATAATTTAAAAAGATTAAATTTCATCAAATTCATTTCCAAAATAATCATAGATGTACTCAACCAAATCTGCTCGTAGTTTTTTTTTTTAGAGAAATAAAAATAAATTCATTAATTTGCTAGAAATCGTATAGCAGCGATTGATAAAAGCAAGATACAACCATAAAAACACAACTTACAAATAGTTACAATGTCATTGTTGTATTTCGCTACATGGATAAACCTATCCTGATCTACCCCATAAAATAATGGTTGTACCACGTGCCAGATTGTTAATCCGGTCAAGGATACAACACTAACCTTCAGTTGAGACCCTCAAATCTTAAACCTAATAATAATTAGATCTACTATGACTGAATCTTCTTGGACCATACCTGCCAAACTGACGAATACCTTCAATGAAGTCGTCGCCGTCGTATCTGCATATATCACCGACAAAACCGCCGCCATACTAGCAAACATCAACAAAGATGCTGCCGCCATACCTGCAAACATCGATAAAGATGTTGCCGCTATACTGTAGATAATAATCTACAAGCCGTTTATTGAAATTAAATTAAAACACAATAAAAAGGCTAAAGGATATTTGTAGAATTATTTCCCCCATTCTTCTATGGTGAAGATGGGGGAAGATTGTTTTTTTTTTTTTTAAGGGTTTGAGGGTGAGGGAGAGGGAGGCGGCAATCTGTTCGTAGTTGATAATGTTCTTTGCAGTTGTGTATTATTGAATATTAGGGATTGGCCTCTTAAAAATACGAAAAATTATGCATTCTACTTCATCCAACCTTGATAATTTGAATTATTTTCTTTTTCTGGTACTTGCGAAAGAGAAATGTTATCAAAACCAAATTGAGTGAAAATGGTGAAAAATAACTTTGGGGTGTTGAGACCATTGGTACTACATTTTGAGCGTCAGATTCGTCTCGAACGTTTCTTCTAGTTGAAATTAGTATAGGTAAACTTCTGGAAGACGAAATCGTATTTGTAAATGTTATTGAAAAATTATTTCTAATCATTGGAGGAAAAAATAACTGGGTGACTGATACATTATGAATGGATTTGGAGCATAAGAAAAAGGTAAATTAAAGATCGCAAAATTTTTAAGGTATCCAAAATTTTGTATATTAGAATGAAAATTTCGAGGCGAAAAATTTGAAAAATTATGAAACGGATTTTCATTTTTTGTTCAAGGATTTTTATTTATTTTTATGCTAAGGTAAGTAGAGAAGAACATCATCAACTACGATCATATTTGGTTAAGCACATTTTACTAAAGGTGTGACATTAGTCTTCGCGACACAATTCAATAGCATGTAACGGTCTTTATCCCAAAAAATAATGAAGGCACCACCCCGATATCTCATTATTTTTTCCTCCTTTTTTCCTTCAGCCGGAACACTTTGTGGGGATCGAGCTATCGTCGACACCGCCACATCATCACTAGTCTTACTAAGCTGGAGTTCGGCAGCCGGAGGAAGGGCTGGTCAGAGGGTCGTCAGACCGGCCTGACCCCCGACTAATTTCGTCCATGCCTTGGTATACTTGAAAGTGTGTGTATATTCAAAAGTATCATTCAGTCCAAAGTGCTTTGTCTTATACTGAACATTTCATCATATTCCTTCGGAAATTGGCATCACAATGTGCAAAGTAAGTTCTTTCCTCATTATAATTCAGCATCATTTCTATGCTCACGTTTTGGTAAAGGTGCGCTGTTTTCCTCCACGCTGTCTCGAACTTCCTGTCGGCTTTAACTATTTTAGACTTCCCTATCTCAACATCTCTACCATACATATAGTTCTCCTCCTCTTCATCCTCGTCCTCGTCCTCGTCGTTTTTCTTGATTTTTCCTCTCTTTCTGACCTCAGGCACTGTCAAAGCTAGTCTAGATTGTGCTTGAATAGAAGAAAGCTTTACCTTCGGAAAGCTAAATGTCCAAAAAGCAACGGTGCCGTGACTGTGAGCATCAACCATGAACGACATCATTACTTTCACCTTGGTCGTAAAAGTACTAATGCTATCAAGATCACAATCAAACAGAATAAGTAGCTGCAGATTCGTGAAATCGTCTGCTAAAATGACCAAACAAAGTGCTAACCAAATGTTGGTTACATTAAATTGCTTATTCACTTCTATCCTTGGGATGGCAAACTCCAGAACACCAGTTGATGTGCCACAGAAGAAAGGTTGACAAAAGAAAAATATTTCTCTGACCACCCTCATATTCGGGTATGTAATTTTAGCATACGATTAACCAACTTAATATATAAGTACATCGAATCAACGGAGGCGAAGCGCATTCATTTAATGGAGAAAATAAACTCAAATTCATTCACCTAGTCAAGGAATTTGCTGGAGTTTCTAAAATGCTTCACATGTTACCCTAGAACCTTTAGGCTGCCAACCATAAGCTACAGACCAACACTGGAGTTTTCACAAGGGAAATTAAATGGTTACCCTTTTAACCTGCACTGTGCAGGAAATAGTTGAAATTTTTACTAGTCAATGTGAAACTAAGCATGTTTTAACAACATCCGGAAAAACAATAAACTTTTTCCCAAAACTCATGTTCATCACCTTTTGCCCATTAAATTAATCATAATGATAAAACCATCATAAATTTTTCCTTTTAAATTTGATTTCTTTTCGTTGGAGAGTAAAAAGAAAGTCATAGCGACAACTATGGGGCACAAGTATACCTAGCTATATGTGTATCTCCCCTTTCAACTCTATTCATTCTGCACAACTTTTATCATTCTTCAAGGGGTTTTCAATGAATCTCACTCAAAATTTCATTTAGAAGCCAACTGTAGAGAATCTTATAGCATGTAAGATTGGGGAAGTTTCTGGATTCAAGCCATATGCATTCGTCTCTACTTGTTTTGGCCATTAAAAGTTCAAATTCTGAGAACACAAATTCAATGGACTAACAAATCTGTCACTGGAAATCTAAAATCTTTGTTATTAGTTACTAAATAGCACTGCCTCCACATGCAAAAGTATGTACAACACAACTAGTTTATAGATAGATGCGTAGAGACTTACCAATAAGTTAATCTTAGAAGAAATGACTAGCCATTAAAAGTTGTGGTTCTTCTTTATCTTCTTCAAACTCCATAGAGGCCTCCTCCCAGATTTCTTGGACCCTCTTATCCCAGATTCCATCGATTAACTTCCAGGTCTTATCACTGATAATTTGAGTCTGTTTGAAAAATATACAAGTACCAACTATTATAATCGTGAAGACTAAGTAAAAGATAAACTTAGGAGAACCAAACAAACCTCCAAGGGCCTGGGAGCACCAAAAGTTGCAAATCCCACATTTCCAGGAGCAAAAGTTACTCTCCCTGGAAGTGAAATCCCATGAATGCCCCATCTTCCAGCACATACAAGGGCTCCATATTCATCAACTGGAGTTACAGCTGACTGTATCAGTAAAAGTTACACAAATTAATGAGCAATAATATACCCAAATAACAATAGAAAACAGTGATGTACAGTAAAGTTAGCAACACTTTTTACCATTGACAATCTCAGAACAACCCGCCCCTGCAAGTTGTCAGAAAATAATGCACCCGTAACCTATTTTTAGATCATACTGTCCACCATTTAAGCAAGCAAAGTCTCGACATGACCAGCTTTACATTCGAACAATGCACCTCATTTAAAAATTCATATTGGAAGGAAAGTAAAATAAAAAGGTAAACCAAACATAATTACTTCATGAATAATCCTTCATGCAATCTCGCCTACTCCGGTTGATTATGACAACAAAATGTTACGTAAGCATATGCTTGGTGCACATGGCCAGAAAAGCACATAACGGTGGAAGAGGAAGGCAGGAGACACAAAGTCATGTCAATACTTAGCAGTTGAAGATCTACCTGAGGTATACGAGGAGATTTGTTATATATTCTCCAGATTTCATCCGCTGTGATCTCACCTTTCTCAAGTAAAATATCTGGACAAGGAGCAAAATCAAGAAAGAGAGGTCAGAGAACAAAATAGCAGACATAGTAATATAAACCAGCTTTTACAGTTTAAAAAACACTATCCACAAAGGAGCCCATGACAAGCAAAACATGGTAGACCTGTTATATTTTCCACAGCAAACTGATTCTCCTTTAGCACAGAGGAGCATCTCTCTACAGCAAACCGCATATACTCATCTCTGAGGGCTTCAAGTTTGGCAGCAAGCTGTAAAGCACACATATCTAACAATCACTATTACATTAACACACAAACACACACACATACACACATAAAAGAAAAGAAAAAAAAGATTAATACATGAATAAGAATTGATAATTAAACGTTGGCATGTCATTCATATACCCACATTTGGCACCAAATCGTTCTGATATCTGTAGTAAGCATTTCCAAATGCAGTCATTCCTGTCTTAAGAATCAGAAACTCTATAAGCCTAGATGCTTCCAAAGTAGACTTGGCAGATATCCAACAGAGATTGTCAACTCCAAACATCTCTTCCTCAATAACTCTAGCTGCAAAATTATGCTATTAGTAAAACTTGAGATAAAACCCGTAAAATGTAAAAATTCATGATTGAATCTTCTACCCAGTTTTAAGGGTGAATAAACAAACACTTAAAAATGGGCAGATGATCATGGACCGCACTTTTCCAGCAAACATTTCAAACAATGCATTTCAAAGAGTCTCATAACTCTACCAAAGCCTCTATATCTTTTACCAAGTAATACAATGTTCTTTCTTGCTTTTACAGTACTTGTAATTCTACTAAAGCTCAAAGCAAGCTCTAAGGTAGCCCAGAAAAACACGATTTAACAATGGAAAACAGATAACCAAAAAAAAGGAAAAAAGAAAATGACAACAGTGAATACTAGTCAATATAGTATCTCTCTCTCTCTCTCCCCCTTCTTCCCGCGGTCGAGGTAAGGAAGAGAATTTAAGGGTTCGGGTGAAACTAAATGCTCTTGCTTCTAACCAGATTAACACAATTTAAAGACCACCACACAGCAATATGCAGATACAAGCAAAACAACTATTACTTTTTTGCTGACACTTTTTTCACAGTTTCAGATGATGAAACAGGTGGAACTGAACAAAATAATTACACGTGTACTGCACCCACTTCAAGTAAACAGTTATCGTATAGTAACGATCAAAGAAAAAGTACATAGCCACCCAGTAAAAGCGAGTGAATAGCTGGCAAGGTTCTTCAGTGTTAAACAGAAGCACAACCCGAAGAACACATTTAAGTTGAAATCAAGAATGTGGCATAAGGAAAAGCAAAAAATGCCTTGAGTGGAAAAAACTATCACTTACGAGCACATGTGCGCACGATGGAGTTTATGTAGTCTTGTTTTCTTTTGAATACCCTGCCGGGGGTCTCCACATAGGACATATTCGGGTGAAGTTGGATGGAACTAATATCTGTCTAGAGGAATACCAAACAAGTAATAAAGACTCTGATTAACTCAGAAGATAAATAAAATCAAGAGAAAGTAGCAAGATGAATCACAAATTATAAAAAACAAAAACTCATCTACCTTGGTGAAAGGACGGTAGGGATCTGGAAAATAGCAAGCAAGAACAGCAATAGCAGCTTCTCGATATGCCAATCTAAGTTTCAATTCTTCAGGGACTTCAGTACTATCTTCTTGACCAGTTTCAAATGTGCCTTTTTGCTGTAGCATGAGCATAACTAATCTAAATATTTGTTCCACACAATACTGGCATTATAAACAATTTCTCAATGGCTCATCATGTTAAAACTCACTCTCTTTAAAGCCTCAAGAAGCTCCTCTCGCTCTATGTAATCCTTGTCCTTTCTAGTAGTCAAAATTCCAGCTTCATTGCTGTCCAATGATCACGGGTGATTTAATTTTCTGTGAAGCTATATGAAAAGAGAACAGAGAAATGCTAATACAAGTAAAACATACAGGACGTTTTGTAATTCTGCTCCAGTAAAATCATCTGCAAGTTCAGCTATTTCCTGCAACAAAACCTCCTTCTCCTCTTCTGAACGGAAAAATTTAGTCCTTGCATGGACCTGGGCGTTTGACACAACAATCCAACCACAAGTTATTTACGTTGCCAACTCTTCCTCAAACAATTCACCAATCCCCAGGTTTCACCATCCCCCAGGTATTCCATAGAGTCCTAATAACAAAAAAGGTTCTGATGAACATACCTTCAATATTGCCAACCTGCCATCTTTTGATGGTAACCCAACTCTAATAATTTTATCAAAACGGCCTTTTCTCAAGAGAGCAGGATCCAGAATATCCAGTCTATTTGTTGCTCCAATTACCAAAACCTGACATATCCCAATTTTAGAGAAATTGGACCTGGTTTTATGCACAACTTTACAAGGAATAAAGACATATGCATGCCTGTGATGTTGACACTTTGAAACCATCCATTTCTGTAAGTATCTGAAGTAGTCCTTGTTCTCTCTCTGCACCACCCTGGCAATGCAATAAATATCAGAGAATATAAGTAGTGAACTTCCAGTCTATTCTTCTATTATTATCATCACAACAATTAAATTTCTGGAAGACACCATAATCACAAAGAATGTTAGATATACGAGAGTAATCAAATGATCTACATCTGTTTCATTGCTCCTTGAGTAAGTGCAACAGAATTAGAATCGAATACGAACATCAATGCCACACTGTTCAATCAAGACTGTGTTATCCTAGTAGGATAACAGCAAAATTTTCTTTTAAAATTTTTTTCCACTTGAAGAGAATAATAATTACAGGAAGATTGTTAATTCCCAATCAAGTAACCAACAAACATGATTACTGCAGTGACCAATGTCAACTTTGAAGGGTATAATGAATATATCATATAATCCCAAGAATTTAACTATTCAAAAACTATCAGAAAATTAATAAATAGCTTGGGATTCTTGAATCTGAGAACTGCTTCACAATGTAAGCATAGAGAAAGGTATCTTACCCCACCAATATCAGGTCCACCACGTTTGCTGCCAATCGCATCGATCTCATCAATAAAAATGATTGAAGGAGCAAAAGACCTGGCACTACCAAACAGGTCCTTCACACGAGATGCAGCGACACCAACAAACATCTGAAAAATTGGAGCTTAAATTAATGGTACCCTAATATCGCTAATGCCTTCTAGACTATATTAACTCTCAGTGCAGCAGAAGAAGGAATTTCAGCAAACAATGTGATGCCACAAACTGCCAAAATACTAAGACTGACAAATACAGTCTTACACAATCATCAAATGGCAAAAACGGCAAGCAAGATTATAAGTTACTCCAACATCTTCAAGGCCCATCAAAAAATCTCTAGCATCACAAACTAAAATTGAAAGAATTGAATCATCAGAAACGCGTGCATAACATAGAAAGACCAAGCTACATACTAAGAACAACTGAAAATTCACACGGAATTACTCAAAGTTGGGGGAGTTGATTGCCAAATCTCCTTAAAGAAGGATGCTGAAGATTGTGAAAATATTAAGAAATGCCAAGGTCAACACATCGTGTACAATGGGTCAAACTGTCAATTAGTGGTTTTATGCAAACAATATATAGAAAATTTTCGCAACATATAGAGGAGCGCCGAGATTCCAAAATCTTATACCTCTACAAAGTCAGTACCATTTGCAGCAAAAAATGGCAGACCTGCTTCTCCCGCTATGGCTTTAGCTAGAAGGGTTTTACCAGTCCCAGGAGGACCATGAAGAAGTACACCTTTAGGACAGTAAATGCCTTTATCCTGGAATTCTTCTTCATTCTTTAGTATGCTAACAATTTCTTGTAACTCCCTCTTGATGTAGTCTTGCCCAGCAAAATCATCAAAGGTGACACCAGTTTTTTCTTCTGCTGATATAAATTTGGCCCTAGTAGAGACACATTAAAAGTAAGATCCACTGAGTAATGCCTCATCAAAAGTCCAAAAATGTAACCTCATATCCAAGGTTGAGAATATTCAACATTCTTTTCGCCACCTCACCTTGTAATTTGGAAGTGGTTATTAAAGTATAATGAATTCTTCTTAACTGGTGCAGCCAAACATACATTTAGTAAAAAGAAAGAAACTACAAGAAAAAGCCAAAGTATGACATTGCAGATAGTTTGCATTCTACAGAAACAGACATATTAAGCAACTAATTAGCAAAGAGCAAATTTATGAGCCAAATTATCATGCCTTAGCACATCATCAAATATTACAAATAAGGAAAGAGGTGGGGTGAAAAAAGAAACAGAACTAAGACACTTCATAAAGGGTTCAGCAGATGGATGATAGAGATTGCTCTTGATATAAAAACAGAAGTGCGACTGAATCCTAATATTTAAGACTTGCGACTCCAACTAACAGGTGGTGCTCCAAACTTTTCAATTGAAATCGAGACTTAAGGTTATGACATTCATAAGGATTGAAAAGTCCTTCCCTAAGTGGTTTGGACCAATTATACTCTTAGGGTTGGATTAACAAGCTCTCAGCAATGAACCCCGATATCAAAGCATCATAAGAGAAGGAACAGGAGTAACTACATCTTCAAAGATCATCATAATAATAGACAAACCATATCATCTGTAATAAAATAGATAGTACATAAATGAAATAGACTGCTGCAACACTAAAGCATAGGAATTGACATAATTCAATATCCACTTACCGACTCTTTCCTAATGATCCAAGGGCTTCACGCTTTAGTGGCAGCCTTGTTTTTTTTGGTGGGGTGCCTAGATCACAAGGTATAAGCTTCGCATAAATAGGTCTCATAATACTGTCAATCCAGAGGTACAATATGACTGCAAGGGCAAGGCGCATAGACCATACGACTGCAGTTGCAACAGTTGAGTAAACTTCAGCAGGAACTGTGTTCCTATTGAACACATCAACATGTACAAGTTGCTGATGTAACTTCCGCCAAACATCATTCCAACAGTCGATAGGCATACGATCAACAATGTGGCGCCGGAAGACAATATTGTTCTTTGTATCCCCACCAGGAACTTCATTTTCTCTGTTTTTGTAGTATGGTAAAATCACTGTACCATAAAGATGCATTAATTTGATATAACAAGGGTATAACTCGAGTATGGAAAGCTAAACATTTGGAAAAGTTGATAGATACTTATAACAGGAAATGAAAAACACTTTAATAGCCTTTTTGGCAGGTAAGCGAAAACAAAAAACGAGCTAGGTACTTGCAAATTATCACCAACAGCTTAAACCCAGTTTTTCACTTGCCAATAGAAGACATAAGCCCCTCTGCAAAAAAAAGTATAATCCAAGACTAGTGAACTCCCTGTTCTACCAGCTGAACCCCTTGAAAGATGGTATAACTGGCAGCTACATAATCAGAAATGATATAAAACCTACCGCCTCATACAGTAAAAGGGGTTCCTTTTTTAAATCCCCTGCCTATCTCAAATCTAGCAGCACAGTTATGCTAATAACTGTCACTCCTGTTCCGGCCCATTGTAGCGAGGTTAGAGCAGATGATGAGAAGTTCAAGGAAATCCAGAAGTAAATACTTCATTGGTAAAAGTTTTAATCTCACACAATGTTTGTGCTTCACAGGAAATGCTAGATTTCACATTCTCATTTAATTATTGTCTCTAATGTAAAATCAAGTCTGTAATGCTTTTTCTTAGCTGATTTCATTCTGGGATTCAATATTATAGGAAAAGTATTCTGAATTTATTTGTTGGACATCATTAAGAGTCAACAAATGATAGATAAGAGATCAGAGACATTTCAGTTGGATAAGAATTCTCTGATATTTTTGTCTACTGCGAGAATAGAATGCAACTTTGCCTTGGGAGTAATGCTTAAAGATTCTTAAGTGTGATACAACGAATGATTTCCAGATAATGCTCATTCTTTTCTGGAAATTCGAAATGGATTGAGCGAGATCCCTTTCCAAATCATAGGTTTTGGCACTGCAAAGTCTCCAAAATAAGCTTAGCTTACACACACTTGGGCCTATTTATGGTATTACAAAATGGCCTTACATTTCAGCAATTTTCTTCGGATGCACTTACAAATCTATTGAGATTAGCGACAGTTATAACCTTTGACAGTCTATGTTGATCTGAATTATGTGAAATTGTTATTTACTTACATAATGACGCATAGATATGAATGCATCCCCCTGTCATGCATATAATTGTGTAGGTATGTAATTTATAGCACCCCATTAAACAACCACACTCATGACATAACCAAAGTTGTTTACAGGTCAAACAGTGTTTAGATCGATCTTTGATGGACTTCCTCACAATTGCCCAAATCCTCATTTCCACAGGCAGAGGGTGATCACAGAAAACCAAAATGTTTCATTTGTTAGTCTCCTAGATGGAAAAGGCCAACTCTGGAGGGCCATGATGAGCTTGTAAAGCATTATTTACAGTGAGTAACTAGCATACTGTAGGCTACGGAGTAGCAAAGTACACACTTGTGTACAGAATGGAAGAGGAAAACAAAACAAAAGATACAACTAATGCACATAAATAAATGTTGGAGGCATGGCGAAATTTATTTCAGGTACTTGGGTGATCAAGGACTCATTTACCAATTTTTGGAACAATTAATGCAAAAGAACAACAAAGCATATGCTGCCAAAAAGTAAGCACTAGCTTCCCGGGATTCCTAAAGAATGAGTACAAAGCGAGAGGAGAAACTGTAAGAAGTCACCGATCCCTGATTGACCGAAGTAGAAAGAGATATGAAAGCCCAGTTGAATGCTAAAATTGCACTGTATGACGCATTAATACTAGACTTTAACTTCTCACTTCTTTAGGCTTCTAGATATTGACAAGCAAATATCAGTAACCAGCAGTCGTAAGATACTTTGCAGAACTCAACTGGCCCCAGAAAAAGTTTAGTAAATTATATTTCACTGACAAAAAGAGATATTTTAGTCTCAAGTCTATGAGCTGTGCTGATGATATCCCTTGTTGAATAGAAAGTGGGTGTCTATGCTAACTCAACTAAATGAAAAATCCAGAAAGAAGAGCTAACCATGCCACTATGAACAAAACAAGAAAATATGGCAACCAAGAAACTAATCTTGCTGGGGAGAAAAATGTATGAATAAATAAATTAAGCAGCTGATGTCCAACCTGAAACAGTCTGACCATAATTCGAGTACTCCATAAACTGTACACTATTTGAATTTAGCAGCCTCTGAAAGTCACTGTAGCTTATCCTATGAGAATTCTCAGGATCCCACTCTGTTCCCTTGAGCTTTCCCCGCATCGTTAGCAGTGCTCTGCTCCAATCAGAAGCCATCACAAGCTGCCTTTCTAACTGAACATTTGCTTTCCTCTCAAATTCCTCCAACTTATTCACCCTCTCTCTCTCAGCCTCTTTCAGTTTCTGAGAAATGCCATCCACCAATTGACACCATTAAAATGAGATTTTTTTAATAAACACTAAAGTTGTGTACGTATTCATTAGAAGGCCCCAATTTGCTTATTTTACTTTAACAGAAAACCAAGTAACGCTTCTGTCTAAAATGATTAAATCTCAACAGTACTTGATTCTTGCTTTAGATGATATACATTTCTCGATAACCAGATAATTCAAGCGCCAACACTGATTAATTTTCCTGAATCACTATGAGAAGAGAAAAATATGACAAATCCACCACGTTATACCTAAATTACAAGAATTTTTTCATCGTTTATTTCTTTCTTTCTCAGGTTCCACTGGGAAGTAAACAAAAAAACCTATCTTACCAAATGCTAAACAAGTAAAGCTGCAATTTCTCCAATTCAACAATTTACTGGAGTAATGAACAAATACTGACTGAAACAAACCTCAAAAAGCTGCTCAGCTGACTCCGGGCCATCAGAACTTGAACTCTGAGTTGAAGAAGAAGCATTGCAACATTTGACTGGAACCCTCTTGGATCCATAACGCAAAAGATCGCTCCGGGTTTTGAAATGCAAATTTGAAGATAGAAACGCATGTTTTTTGGATGATAACGACTGGGGTTTAAGGGTTTTAGAGGGATAACAGAAAGAGGGTTTTGGAATGTAGTACAAATGAATTTGATTTGAAGTTCCTGTCACCATTTTCGTTCATTCATAGAATACTCACGCTAATTCCCTATATGCTGATGATGATGAGGCAGTCAGTGTTCTTGTTGGCTTTTGAAGTCTATTTTATCTTCATGAGAGATTTTTCATGTAAAGAAGAAAAGATGAATAAAGCCTGAAAATGGGACGCGACAAATTCGACCGAAAGTGGAATTATGGAGGGAACTCATACGGCGACGTTTCTTATTGGAAAAACCACAATTTGGCCCTAAAACTTTGGCCTTCCAACGATGAAAAAAGTTTTCATGTTAAAAATAGGCCACATCACTAATTTTTAAAATTACAATGTGGACTATTTTTGGAGTACTCCTTCGATCCTTGTTATAAGCCATTTGATCTTTTAAATTTTATTTATTGTATCTTTTAATTTAAAATAAAACTTAAAAATATATTTTCACATTTATTTTGTTCTCACAACTATTATAAAGTATTTTTAAGGTTTGATTTTCAATGTAAAAATACGATAAATAGAACTTAAGAGGAATCAAAATGACTTATAATAAGGACCAGAAGGAGTAATAAATAGAAAAGAACTATAAAAAAAATTAAAGTTAAAACTAATAAAAGAAGAGGGGAGATGAAAGTCACAAAATTGACACAAATAATGTGAACCTTGAAAATCTAAATTATTGGCATGTGTGTGAAACCTCAAAATCTAAATTATGGGCATGTGCTTGAAAATGATTTTTTTTTTTTTTTTTGGTAATGCCAGGAACCCCACCAGAGATGGGTAAGCCCACGCCCACTACAATAGTCTGCAAACCACAGTGGAAGTGAAACCACCCTATGCAAGCCCGGGGTGACAAGTTTGGGTGCGAAATCGGGAGTTCATTAGTGGGTTAGCCATAACAAGCACCTAGAGGTGTGATAAGTTCGGGTACGAAATCGGGAGTTCATTAGTGGGTTAGCCATAACAAGCACCTAGATGTGCCAATAGACAAGGTTGCAATAGCCTGCAAACTACAGTGGAAGGTAAATCACCCTATGCAAGCCGGGGGTGACAAGTTCAGGTGCGAAATCGGGAGTTCATTAGTGGGTTAGCCATAACAAGTACCTAGATATGCCAATAGGAAAGGTTGCAATAGCCTGCAAACCACAGTGGAAGGTAAATCACCCTATGCAAGCCCGGGGTGACAAGTTCGGGTGCGAAATCGGGAGTTCATTAATGGGTTAGCCATAACAAAGCACTTAGAGGTGTGATAAGTTCGGGTGCGAAATCGGGAGTTCATTAGTGGGTTAGCCATAAAAAGCACCTAGATGTGCCAATAGGCAAGGTGAGAGCCCTCAGTTTTTGTTGGAGTGGGGGATGTGTCAATAGGTAAGGTGAGAGCCAACCCTCAGTTTTTGTTGGAGTGAGAGATTACACTCATGACATCCTCTAAAAAAAATGATGATTTTACCACTGAACCAACTTCTCATTTGCTTGAAAATGTTTTAATATATAATTTAAGCCAAAAGTTTCGTAAAAAACTTCTATAAATTTAAATTAGATAAATATGGATATGAAAAAAAAATGACATCAATTAGATAATGAATAAAATGGAAATAATAATGTTATTTTGGTTCAAAACTTGTTATAATATATGATTAAATTACCTTAACTCAAATCGATTTTATTGCATATCATTCTTATTGCGAACGCTACATTTTCATTTCTTAATCGATATTTCTATTATCTATATAATTAATTTTTAATATAATTTTTAAATAAACAAAAATTGGATGAAAATTCAAAAAGTGCAGTATAGGACATGTGTCTGTGAAATATAAAATTAAAGTATATATCAAGATTTTGCTCAAAAATCCTAAAACTGCAAATTAGACAAAAATGGAAATGAAATAAAAACATGAATAAATAAATAACGAAGATTCAAATCATTTTGTTCTTAAAATAAAGAATGAATGTAATAGAAGAGGGAATTGGGATGAATACGAAAGAGAATTTTTTTGTGTTTGTACGAGATTGTTCAAATGGATTAAGTCAAAAGTAGGTACCCAGAAAAACAAAAAGATTTTTTACAAAATTTTGATTTTGCAGTCTAATGTTTTCTTTTTCAGCACTGCATACCTTCTAATGCTGAAAGAGATTGACAATTATCTATTGTTGCAAGAGCTCTTCACCGGTTGGGCACAATAATAAAGATACAATTAATGAAACTATCGGCTCTGTTCGTTTGCATGGCATTGGGGGTTTGGATTTGGAATTTGAACCCCCAATGCCAAATCCGGCGTTCGGCTCATAAAAAAAAGTATGGAATTGGCATTAGCCCAATGCCAAAAGGCTTCCAATACCACAATTTTAATTCTGGGCTTGAAATTATTATTTGGGATTCTAAAATTCTGTGGAGTTGAGCTAGTCACGGGTCTTTTCCGGGTTTTCAAAATTAAAATCCAGGTTCGGGTCCTTTTTTATTAGCTTTTTACTGTACATCGGATTTTTTTTTTCCACTTTCTTCGCGTTCCCAACTTAGACTTTCTCCTCCAATCTTTCTCCTCCGTTAATCTGTACAATCTCCAGCGACTTCATTAATCGTAACAAATTTATGACGGCGACGGCGAAGAAGAAGGAAGTGGCGACACGGTTTCTTGGTAATTTTTTTATTCTGATCTTTTTCTTCCTTTTGGGTAGATAGGGTTTGCTGCTCATCAATTCATCCAGATTTTTTTCTGATGCTTGGGTTCTCAATCAAATCTTTCTTATTTCAGTATGGATCTGACTGAATTTTTTGTGGGTTTTGTTTATTAAGTCAAATTCCAACTAGGTTTGCTTCTCCGCATGCTTACTCGGTGCTGTTTCTCAACAACATAGTCCACCGACTTCTCTTCTCTGGCGTTTGCCTCTAAGTGCGGCGCACAAAGGGACTTCAAACTCCATTTCCCAAATAAGACCGACCTTTGCTACGTTATTTGCCGCACCATCCTCGATTTTGGGCTTCACTGCAATCAGGCAAGGTATTCTCTCTGATTTTTGTCTCCTTTTAGTTATGATAATGGGTTTGTGTAGATCTATGAGGCAAGGTGTTATTTTTCTTATAACAAATCATGAAGGACGTGGAAATTGCAAGGTGGGGGTGCCTTGGTCAGGTTTTAGGTGAATGCATTTTCTATCTATCATTTGGCTGAGAAAGGACAGGTTTTGACATGTTAAAAGATAGACTTTGATATTCTCCATTTCAACTATTTACCTTTAATGATCGTTGAACATGACACCTCTAATTCTTAGAATGATCTTTATTAGTCTCTTTGTTTCTTCTTATATTCTTCCCTTCTATGGCTTAAAAGTGATGAATGCTCAGAAGTTGTAGAACATCTATGGCTTAAAAATTTTGTTTTATTCGCAGGTAAATTCTCCTGATCTTTGATAATGGTGGGTGGCCTGAATATCAGCTGTAGTTTTTAGGTAAGAATGTTTCTTAGTGATCAAAATTGTTGTTGGATATTTTATCTCATCTTCAATTCCTCAATTTTGTTGTTCATGCTAATTCTGTGGATTGAATTTATGGCATCAAACTGTTGAAATTGGAAATTACTGGTGCTGCTTCCTTTCCTTTCTCTGTGTGTATGTGTGTTACATTGAAGGTTCTGCTCTGGATTTTCCTCTGTTTGTTTTTTCCTGCTATAAAGTTTGTTGCTTTCTACATTATTGAAGCTTCAAATCATGCGGGTTTAGGAGAAATATGGATAATTTCCAAGTGGTCATAAGCAGTGATATATTGTTTTCAGTTTAGTTGTCCACTGCGTTTGTTTTTGTTTGCACAGATTTTGGCTTTATCAGTGTGTTCTTATGTGGGTTTTCAAGTTTTGGATTTTTCTGAAGAACATAGAAGGAATCATGGATATATAATATTATAATCTTTGATTGATAGTCATAAAACGGTTTAGAGAAAAGAATAAATACATCATCATATGAAGAATTCCCTTCCCTTTTCTGATCCAATCATTTATCAGAGTTTCCTCACTTCTTAGCTTGCCAACTTTAGGGTCTTTTTTCCTGAATTTCTTTGGACCTAGTTTAGACTCAATCTTTTCATTTGTTCTGAAGAAATCCAAGCAACATGATATTGTCAATCGTTAGTCATTGAGGCATTAACCAGATTGCTTCTCTTTCGCAATTTTACTACTACTAACACATGGCTCATCTGCACCAGCATGCTCTCAAATACATCTTTTAGCTCGTGAATCTTCTAATTTGCCAAGCAATCTTCATTTTGGAAACTGGTGCTTTACCTATTTGAACAAGAAATATTAAGTGTGTCCTTGCTTTTTCTTTCAGGTTGGCTACCGTTATTAGAGGAGATTGTGTTAAGATATTAAACATCAATTCAAGGTAACATGTCCTTTGCCTCTATTATAATGTCTTAATGAAATTATGGTTTATGTCTTTGCTTGTCATAATTTGTCTTCATGGGTTCGACTTATCGTATATATGAAACAGTGAAAATGAAACCAAAACATTGACTCTTTTCCATTCTGATTAATGGCTTTACCATTAGCCCAAGTCGGCATTTTTTTGTGGTCTGAAATTGTTGGCATTTCATGTTCACAGTTCCTTTTCACCAGAGCTGAGCTAAATTAAATCTCTTTGCAAGTTAAAAATTGTTTAGTACCTCAATTTTCCATCATAGCAAAGGTTGTTAAACCCTAGGTATAACATTGGTTCTCTTGGAGTCATTGGTTCTCTTGGAGTTGTTTAGTTTTTATACGTGTTTGCGTCTGGGGTTTCGATTTTTTTTGTTTTTAAAGCAGCTAATGTTGTGATCTTGATAGGCAACATATTATTGTTGTTGTATGTTAGCTTTTCGTTCCTTCATATTTAAGGTGCAAGGATAGACTATGTCTAAATTATTAGCCCTTATAATTGTGTTTTGGGAGCAGAAGAATAGGGTTTTATGGTTACTGCTATTAAGTAGAGCTGTTGTATGATTTTCCAGCTAACCTGTTGGTGTGACTCCATGAACTCATTGCTGTTATTAGAATGAAGTTTCAGATCCCGAAACTTTATGAGCAAATGAGGATGAACTGGGAGTACTTGAATTTGATTCATGTCCTAGTATTATGTTTATTGTCTGATTATCTTTTAGTTTAAGTCCAATATATATGTGTCCCTCATAGCTTTGGCTGCGCCACATGTGTTTTGAGGTAGTGAATTCTCCCAAGAGTTGATTTAAATTTTGTGGTTCAGTGCTCTAGAGGCTCATTATGTGAACCAAAATTTGTTTCTGTTTAGAATTTGGAACCTCAGGTCGATAAATATCATGGCTGCTATTATAATGTCTTAATGAAGTCATGGTTTATGTCTTTGCTTGTCATAATTTGTCTTCATCATGGGTTCAACTTCGATACCATAATTTGTTTCCTTATCTAGTATAAGTAAGTAGAATGTGTTATCCTTTGAAGAATTTTTTTTTTAGTTTTAATTAGTTTTGATTTTATTTGAATTCAGTTCATGGATCCATCCTTGTCCCTATCTGATGGTGAAAGTGATGATGAGAGCTCATCAAGTACAGTAAGGAAGACATATGTTATCCTTCGTATGTTGGAATTTGCTTCCCAGGTTTCACAATAGCATGAAAGACATAGGGTGAAAGAGCCAAGTATCGATTACAGCATAGCACGAGAAATCTACCTAAGGCGTCTTTATTATGGAAATAATAGGGTTTGTAGGGAGCAACTCCGTCTCAATAAACATTGTTTTTCTGTTTTATGTACCAGTTAAAGGAGTTGGGGATGAAAGATTCAAACCATGTCACGGTTGAAGAAATAGTTGCAACGTTTCTTTATGTCCTCTCTTTTAATCTGACAAACCGCAAAGTCAGTTTTGATTTCATTAGATCAGGGGATACTGCTAGTCGATACTTCAATATGGTCCTACAAGCTGTACTAAAACTGGGAGGCAATATGTGGTGCAACATACAACAGAAATGGAAGGATTCGAGGATGAAAAATGGGACTGGTTTGAGGTAAATATTATATCTAGTTGTTGATTATTTTGGAAATTATAGTCTAAAAGTTTTAATAATTAATTAGTGCTTTTATTATGGTAGAACTGTCTTGGAGCACTAGATGGGACCCATGTTGAACTCGTTGTTCCATTGAGAGATCAAGGAAGGTATCTTGAGATCAATTCTGTTTGCTCAATATTTTTTTTTGTTTCTTTGTGCATTAGTTTTTTAAGGTGTATAAAGTACTAACAAGAATGTTTCCATTTGATTTTGTAGGCAAATATTTTTTTGTGGATGCGGATTATACCAATGGTCCCGGTTTTCTTGCACCTTATAGAAGAACTAGATATCATCTCAATGAATGGTCAGACCAAGGTAATAATCCACAAACTCCTAAGGAGTTATATAACCTTCGTCATACAACTGCTAGAAATGTGATTGAGAGAGCTTTTGGTGTGTTGAGAAGGCGATGGAAAATTTTGAGAGAAGCGTCTTTTTATGATGTCAAAACAACTGTGAAGATTATCAATGCTTGTGTTATCTTTCACAGTCTTATTCGAGTAGAAGAACCTAATGATCCATTACTGGAAGAAGTTGATCATGAGCTTCTTAACCGAGTTAATCCAGATGGTGATGATCAGAATGAGGAAGAACAGAATCAGCCAAACATGCAAGGTGGTGCGAATGTTGAAGACTCTGATCGCATTACACTTGTGCAATCTACACATGAGTGGACTAGATTTAGAGATGCATTAGCTCAAGCTATGTTTATTGATTATCAAAACAGGCGTAGATGAAATGGTCTTGTTAATTTATGTTCAATAAAACTATTAGTTTTAAGTTTCATTGTTTGTATAAGACTTTAACGTTGTGTGGTATTTTAGTTTGAGTGGTAGTAACATTGGTTGGATTAATATTGTCACCAGATTCTATGTTTGATAAGAATATATAAAATGTTTAGGTGGTTGTTACATTATATATAAAATTGGGTGATACCGCCCCTTCGTTTTATAATCAGTTTAGTTTCTTTGATTTCAAAACAATCACTTGAACTAAATTAATTACTACATATGTAACCAATTTTTGTAATTTTTATATTTATGTTAATGTAACAGTCTTGGAACGACCTAAATTGATCATTATAATGAATATATAAATAATTGATAAATTTAAAAAATAAAAATTTAAAGAGTTTTCTCTTTGTCACCTTAAAGATGGTAACAAAATATATTATTCTAGAAATGATACTATTTAACATAACAAAAATTAAAAGTTGAAATAATTTCAAAATAAATCATTTTCTTCTTTTTTCTTAATTTTTGTAAAAAATAAGCAAAAGCTAAAACCAACCCAATTACTAGACTATACAAACAGAGAATTTGGAATCCCAATTGAATTTGTGACCAATCCAATCCATGATTTTGCCGAACGGATAAATTGGCATTGAATTAGAATATCTTGAATACCAATTGAATCGCAAAAGCAAGTACCCGAACACACCATCATAGTAAAGTTGCCAATGCCCATTGAGATAATACAAAGTTTTTTTAGTTATATTCATATTTGTTTCAAGGTTGTTCTTTGAATGACCTTCTCCATGTATATGAAAGTCAATATAGACTATCATAGTATCTCACTCGGTCTATAATTATTTTGATAGGAACATAGTTAGCATTCACTGGTCGTATTGGTTGGATGTTCGGAACAACCTAAGGTTCTTATACTCAAATATAATTTCAAATATCATTTTATACTTACGACATAATATGTTTTTTTTTTTTCCGTTGCATTCATATAACATAAAACTTTTTATGTCGAGTAACATCATGCCTTTTTTTTTTGTCTAAAAACCTTAGCTTGATTAGAGTGACCATGATCAAAATACTTTTTTTATGTGCTTTTTTTTTTACAAAAAATTATAACTGAATATGAGTTGATCACGAACACAAACATAAACCAAATATTGTAAAGATTAATCAGCTGAAAATTCTATCAATTTCCATTTACAAAGATACCAAAAAACATTTTTGTTGCAATTCTTCTTAGTCAATAGTCTTCTTCTTTCTTCTTTCCCTTTCTACTCCCCTGTCCCCAACCCGACTCCGCCCTCATCAATCCCTAATTTTCCGCCAGGCACCACCCACTGTTCTCCCTCACTTCTCGCCGGCAATGCCATCGAAATTTCGTCACTTCCCCGTCTCTTCTCGCCGGCCACCATCCTAATTAGAGCCCTAGTTTTTTGTTTTTCTTCACTTCTCCCGGTCGACCCTTATTACCCGCCCCATTACGAACCCTAGATTTTTACCTCCGATCTTACTTTCAGCCAACGGTTTCTGAATTTAGTTGAATCCTCTGAGACTCCATTGTTCCATCTCGTGTCACTCCGTGCCCTTCTGTCCCGGCGTATTTCCGACTGTCAACCGTTAAGTTCTTCGTCCAGTTAAGTTTTTTTTTAAAAAAAAATTAATCTGGATCTTTTTGCTACTTTTTGATGCCACGAAGAGATGATATATGTGTAGTAATAGACTAGTAGTACATGGAACTATGGAAAATGGAAATTATGGAATTAATTCTCAATCAATTTATCAATCCTTAATGGGTGGACAGGATGGACGATTTGATTCTAATTTTGGTCGCTTTGTTGCTTGTTGATGTGTTGCTTTAGGCTCCAAATTGTTACTGCTTGTTTCCAATTCAAGTTAGGGAACTCTGTGTATCTTATGCTTTGTTGTTGTGTATTGTTCTTAGCTGTTAGGGATTTTATTTAGAAATTTATTGAGAGACCTTTTTCTCTTAGCTCACTATTACTTTTGCAGAAAATCAGAACTAGGTGCTATTGTTTTTTTTTTTTAAATGCATTATGGTTCTGTTTTTTTTTTTTTACATTCTATTTTTTTTTTTACATTAGGAAATATGGCAAGTTCTTCTTCGTTGCAAGCCCAAAACTTCAAAAATAAGGGTCCGATCGAGGACGACCTTCTTTACCTTCAGGGTGATCATCCTTCTGATGCGGTATTGGAACGGTGAGCCAAGATATATGGCTGAACACCATAAGTGTCGACGATTTGACACTCGACTTTGGGATCTGTATGAAAGTAGCCATGTTGTAGTTAAACTTTTCGTGAATAAAATGGGTTTGAGACACTTCCTCGAGACGGGTCACATCCAGTTAGACAACCCTCTCGTGACAACCTTGGTTGAAAGATGGCGGCCCGAAACTCATATCTTTCATTTCCCAATGGTGGGAAACAACAATTACGCTCCAAGATGTTCAAATTCTCTTGGGTCTTAGAATTGATGGAGCCCCGTAACTGGCATTGATTCGCCACCACCTACTTGGGGTCCTAATGTGCCAGGAACTTTTAGGCTTCACACTTAAATTTTAAAAAAAATCCAACCAAGTTATATCACTTCGCTGGCAAAAGAGTGTAACCGAAAACTTTCAAATACGGCCTCAGAAGATAACTACAAGAAGCTCGAGTTTTTGCTATGTGGGCATTAGGAGGTTCACTATTTTCGAACGGAACCGGCAACACTATGTCTTTGCTTTATTTGCCATTATTGAAGGATTTTCAGTCTTGTCGGAAGCTAAGTTGGGGGAGTGCATGTCTAGCGGTGTTGATAATAATCTTTGTAATGCATCAAATAGGACACAATGGGATATATGTGGATGTCTAATTCTTTTGCAGGTATAACTTCGATTTTGAACTCTATTTATTTAATTTTTGTTTCTTTTATGTATAATTTGTCTTCTTTAAACCTAACATGTGTTACATTTATAGACTTGGGCTTGGGTGCGTATCCCAAGGATATGCCTCAAGAGGAAAGACCCGGAAGAAGACGACACATTGGCCTTAGGTTCAAGGTGGAAGGGTTCATTGGATTTTTCCAATGTGGCCTCCCACTATCTCCCAGCACATCGAGATCAACTCGCTAGCCTTAGAATGACTGAAGATGTAAGGGGTTTCTAATTCTAGATTTGATTCAATTTTTTTTCGAATGAATCTAGACTTTTTTCAACACTTTTTCATCCCGTTTACCCTATAAAAACAGAATACAGGATGTTGATGTGGCAACTTTTTATAAAAAGTTTTTGGCTCCAAATGCATCATATTGCATTAATCATTCTACCACGTGTCATCCCTTTTTAAAAGAAAACAAAATTCTTATCCGGAGAAACAAAAGCTACTTTACAAAAATAGCTAACAATTTTAACTCCTAACATTTATCATTTATTAATCAAATTAAAATAGCATTTAAATTTACCCATAAACTTATCCCCTTTATTACTCCACATTCTTTTGTATGATTTCTGAATCATTGTACATTTCAATATTTTTTCTCCTTTGGCAGATGATTTTATTACTTTTATTTTTATTTTTGGCTAAAAAAGGGAAAAACAATCAAATGTGTAGCTATTTTATTTTTTCTAAATCAAGAAGTCATTTATCTATTAACACAAAATTAAAATAGAGGGGGCGCCCGGGCAGAGCATCTAGTAATTATTTATGTCCTTTTTTTATTTTGTTATATAAGCTAGACTTTATTTTTATTATTTCTGAAAGCTTATGTTAAAAAATATAACATGTTCCTTTTTTATATTTATTTCTGCACCTTTTATTTTAAAATTAGCTGGTCTTTTTTTAAAAAAAAGTTTTTATGCTATTTTTTAAACATAATCTTGTTCGCTTTATTATTTTAGTTTATTTGGCAACCTTATGACCTCGATACATTACATGACGTTTGTACATGGGGTCGGGATTGTTGGCGATCAAACACTTGGTTAATTTGCTGGGAGACCGTTGAACCACATCAAGTTGACCGTGTGATGTGCCAGTTTGGCTTGAAACAGTCGATCCCACTACAACCAACGATTACTGGTTGCAAAGAATGGCACAAGTTGCACCTGTATGGTAGGACTGGAAAAGCTGGGACTAACTGGGAGCTTTATCGTCATGAATACATCGCTATATGGAACAATAGGAAGAACACCATTGCGCCCGGGTCTTTGATTAGTGGTCTATCCTCAACCGATGATGATTATCTCCCATGGTATGAAACCAAGATTATTAAATTCATCAAGGATCCCAATTGGTACAACTTAAAGGATGAAGGGTATCGTGAGTATTCAGATCGCGCAAAATTTTATGTAAGTATTCTCATTGGTTCTTTTTTTTAAAGCTGGTTTTTTAAAAAAATTTGTTTATGCTTTTTCCCCTCTTTTTTCTAATTCCTTTGTTCCTTTTTTTTAATAAAATTTCTAGTTGAGCGTTTTTTTTACACTGTTTCTTTTTACTGCATAAACAACTTTTTTTTTTCTTTTTTAAGCTGGTTCTTTTTATTTTTAAAAAATTTTCTAGTTTGTTTGTTTTTTAATAAATTTTTAATGGTTAACTTAATTCTAGGTTGATGCTTTGAGCGATGTCTACAAAAAGGTAGAAGACTACAAGAAATCAAAAGATGTCTGTCAAAATTCAGTATGTATGAATCTCCTTGATGATATCACTGCTCATGCTATGAGTGCTTTATCCATTGGAGCGAATGAGATGCAAATTTTGAAACTCACCCAATCGCTTGTTGATATCAACCACAAATTTCTCAACCGTCGGCAAAGTTCGCTAGCGAAATATTCCTCACAGTGGCATTGGAGGAGGCAGACAGAAAATCAAGGAAGAAGAAGAACTAGAATATGATTTTGAACTCAAACCAACCTGTTTCAAACTCCAACCCCCCTAGCAACAATACGAAGCCAACCAAGAAGGTGAACCTATAAGTATGGACGTAGATGTTTCCCCGC